TCTTAAGATATCCTTTAGTATGCATTTAATTACGTATGTAGGTCTACATGACAAATTAACCCAACAAAATGTTTTGATTTCATAAGAATAATAACTGAAGTAACTGATGCAGAGGTTTAGTTTGTTGTCAGGACTGCAATTTCACTATCATACTAATAGTTATTTAATTGACTATGCCTCCTTTTGAAAAAAAATTAAGTAGATAGAAACGAGTCGTGAATAACATTTACGGTTGGTCAATTTCTAAATGATTTATAAAGTTAACAAAGGAAGGGTATTTATTTGGGATGCAGGCAATGCGGGAAGGAATTCAAGCCAGAGAAGCTGCATGCACATATGAAATCCTGCAAAGGAATCAAAGCCACTTCACGAAGATCAATTCAGCTTTTGGCTACAACGTAATACATTATTTATTAAAAAAAAATTTAAGAGAGTCCTTTTGACTCCATAATAATGTTGTATGATTTAATTCATTAAACGAGTAGCGGGTTAAGCTCCTAACTTTTTATTGGTCTTTGTTGGGGAAATGTTCAATGGAAAGAGGTAAATTATTAGTATGTAACATCCAAATTTCCTAATAAGAACTCTTTTTAAAAACTATGTGAAGAAGTCTCATTTTCGTTAAAGTCGATATATATCCTGATCCCGTCCTTTTTTATATCTTTTTACCATTGAAATTGAATCCAACGTTCTTTTACCTTTTATTTTTGTAACACATTCTCTATATTAAAGAACCTTCTTCTACCGCCCTGTATTGTTTGCGTGCGTATAAATTTAAGTTGAATTTGAACTCATTGTTGTTACTCGTTTTTTTTGTTTTCACTCATCCACTCTATCTTAAATTTACTCGGGAGCTCTCAAGGAAGCTCCCATGGTTTTGACTAAGAATGTGGAGGACCGGTGAAATCTTTTTTTTTTTTTTTTTTTAAGATAATAATATACTTTTGACTCTTAAAATAGACGTTCATTTAAAATAAAGAATTATTTTTGTTTCACCTTAACAATTCAAAATTGACCTTTCGAAAAAAATTCTTCATATATATAATATTCATTTTCACTTGTAAAATAAGAATCCGATGTAGGTTTAATACTTCAAGATGTTAGTGTACTAATGACAAATCTACAATAATATTCATCGTGGACTAAGATGTACGAAAGATGGAACTGAAGGGCCACCATTGAATTTATACGAAAATGATCCTCGAAGCAAACATGATTTTCCCCTTTATTTACTCAAAAGATTATTGGTTCTGATAAAAACAAATATAAAAATAAGGCATATTTTCACTCAGACTATGAAAATGGACCTTCAAACAAATTTACGGTTCTAACAAGACTCACACCCAGGATTGTTTTTTAAAGTTTGCATCCATAAATCATAGTTTAAATTTTATATTTCAAAATTCAAGTTATAATTAGTTAGCCCCATTTTGATAGAAAAATGCATTTTTGAATAGTGATTTTTTGGATAATGTGTGGTTAAAAGTAAGGAGTTTTTTTTTTTTGAATTTACGTGTAAAATTATTTCCATCCACATTTTAATGTCTATCCACTCTAAGTTCATCCCTATTAAAATTTTAAAATTAAAAAATACTATTTGCATCCACCTCATATTCCAATATTATCCTTATTATATTTATTCATTTTAATACTATACATCCATATAAATTTTATATATTCACCCCACTTTAAATACATTCCTAACTCTATAGACCCACACAATCCCTAAAACCATAGTCTTTTAAACCAAATGAACGAAATAAGAACAAAGTTGAACTGATTGAACATTAAATTAACATATATTGAGCCTGTTTGGTATGGATTTTTATTTTCTATAGTAAATCAATTCTTATTTTCAACCACACATTCTTCAATAAAATAATATTTTCCATCACATCAATAATTTTTTCTTCTTTTTCAACCACACATTTCCTATCATATCACTATTCAAAAATCAATTCTTCCCTCAAAAATCCCTACCAAACAGGCTCATTATTCACTTAACCATGTTAACAGTGTTTATTAGAAGTTTTATCGTTCTTATTCATAAAACTCAATCCATCAAAGGCAAACCACTATAAATTAACATCCAACTTAGGAAGAGGTTGTCTCTAGAGAAACTATATGGAATAACATTTGGAACCCATCATGTTTGGACTATAGTTTGTTTGCTTCAATCATATCTTGAGGGTATGCTTAAATTCAAAATTGCAAGTAGAAAAACATCATATATTTAGATTTAAAAAAAAAAAGGGCTTAACATGCCTGAATTTGCTATTTTTTAATTAGACAAAAAGGCTTTACATTAATATGAAGTAGAAAACATAATATATTAGATATAATTTGCCCAAATCTATGCGGATAAACATAATATGATCAGCTAATTAAATAGAATTGAACAAAAACTAAAATTAAATAAACGATCACAAATCAGAAAGAGTACTTGAATCAATCACAAATTCAAAATAACGATAATCAATTTTGGTTAAATTTAACATGCCACAACTTGTCCAACAATAATAATAGTGTTATTATTAACTGTTCTTATGGTTTTTCCAAATCGATTGTCTTTGATATAGCTACATCTTCTTCTATTAGGGACCTAAAACATTGCGTCCTAGCATGAGATGTAGCCCAGACCTCTGCACATGGATGATGGTACTTGTACCAATTACAAGCAACAGGTGGCATTGGTCCACTAGTATTAGGGATGGCAACGGGGCAGGTATGGGACGGGTTGGCTATTTCCACCCCCGTCTCGTATGGTTTTTTTTATTACCTTACCTCATCCCATACCCGCTTAAAGCGGGACGGGACGGATTCGGGGCAGGATCGGATTGGGGCGGGGCAAGTTTTATACCCCATTTATTTTTTCTTTTTATTTTTTATTTATTTTATTTTTTACTTTTAACTTTTTTATATCTTTAGTTAGTAAATATTATTACTTTTTTACCAATTTATTAAAAACAACTTATGTTCTCTTAAAAAATGATGATAAATCTAGCCCCCGTTTGGTGAACATTTTGAAGGTAAAAATATATTTTTACTGTTGATGTGATGGGAAATATGTGGTTGAAAAAGAAGGAAATTTTATTGATGTGATGAAAAATATTATTTTATTGAAAAATGTGTGGTTGAAAATGAGTAGAAGAATGAGAATAAAAAAAATAATGTGAACCAAACAGGGCACTATTATTTTTGTTTGATAAAAAACTTAAATTTGAAATTAATTTTAAATGGGGAGGGGATTATGTTTCCCGTACCCGTCCCATACTCGTTTCGGGCCAATGAACCTCGTCACCTCCCCGCCCTGTTTACCCGGTTAGGCGGGTAATCCCCACCCCATTCGGGGCGGGACCCTACGTGTATCGGGTTAAACGGATTTTTCTGCCATCCCTAACTAGTATACCAATTTACTAGTACACACTTACGTAGAAAAACACAAGTAGAAATATCATTTAGTTAATTAAAAATTTAATTAATTTAATAGATATTTACCAAGACAAAATGGCATCCATTGACAAATTCAATTGCAACAATCCTATGAGATGCGATTGCAAGTGGTTCATCCCAAAGTGGAAGAAATGCAAGACATTGTTGGCTCAAGTGAACAAGAATAACCTTATATCTTACTAAGCAATAACATGACCAATATTCGGCATGGTCATCCAAAACTCACGACTCGTAGAACCACCAAAATGAGAAAGTGAATGAATCAACTCATGGACCATATCATCATTTCCATAGAGAATGGAATAATCATCAAAATGAGATTCAAGCTCTTTTATTAGGTTTTTTTCTGATCAAAGACCAATTATCTTCACCTATACCTACAATATTAATCACAGCTAGAGAAACCACAATTGCCATCTGAGGCTATGTACTTCACACCAACTACGTAAGGTCTCAAATGAATAGGAAATGAATCAAAATAAATTATGGACTTTGATCCACGTGCTCAATACACCTTTTGTTTTTGTCGAATTGGAGGCTAGCTTGATAGTGTAGGCTGACTTGAAAGCATAATGGAACTATCCAATTGTTGTAACATATTGTGTTGTCCAGACACTAACTCAAAATACGATAGGCGCATGGTATTCCATTTGTTTGTCGTATAACACATCCACAAGCTACCTTGTCAATCCCAATGTCATTAGCTCGCTTAGGCTCTTGAAATATCAAATTCATTGCAATTCTTGATGTAATCTCCTAATCTCTTTAAACAAGATAGGTTTGAAATTATGTTGGACAGTAACCAAGCTCTTTTCAAACGAAGCTTTAGTATGTGCATGTTGTAGCTCCAATAATGCATGAATTCTTGTCCATGATGCGTCAAAATTGCCTTGGGAAGGACCTAAACGCCTCTTAAGTATTGCATGTACAAATTCAGCCCTACCATAAAAAATAAATCAAATTCATTGTACATTAGCACATTTAATGCATCAAACATAATTAATAAGCATTGACCCCAAAAAATGAATCAACAGATGCCGGGCCCACTCACGCCAAGTCAAGTACGATTTCGGCCCGTTCCTATCGGAGTGATGACGGTAGCACGAAGAAGGTGGACGCGAGAAGTACTTTGCGGTAGGAGACAAAATTGTTCGACCTCCGGCGGGTGGAACGAAAGCAATCGCACTAACAACGATCACCCAGTCGAAAGTAAACTAATCTATGTAATAACAAATAAGAATATGTGGAAGGATAGATGAAATATTTATATATTCTTTTCAAGAGTTCAAGTGTATATTTCGAATATATGATTGTCCATCTTCCATCAATCATCCAACCTCTCCCTTCTAATTACAAAGATGACTTATTTATACTACCTTGGCTGACGTGGTGACCGTTGGATCGGAACCACGTGGCCTCATCTCCCTAACTAAGGCTTCACATCACTGTCTACTCATGCAATTAATACATTGATAATGGGTCAGCCACCCTACATAATAGGCTGACATACTGATAAACTTTATTACAAGTTACATCAATCACTTCTGAGAGAGATCCTCAAATCTTTTACAAGGAAACAACATCGGTTTTGTGAGCTTCGGATAAGTTGGAGAGAGCTTCGGAGAGATCTGAAGTCCTCAACCACTTGAAGCAACTTCATCTTCGAAGAAGTATGAGGGCCTCGGCCTATTCCTCTTTACTGGTGTGTTTGACCTGCTGAGTCTTCTTTTGACTTTCTTGTTGACCGTTTGCCCACGTGTCGTGTTACGTAGCCCCATTTCACTGGACCTTGGAACCAAGGGGTAACAATAGTCCCCTAAGTCTATGCATGATTATTTATGTAATGCATGGACTTGTTCAATCACTTTAAAAATGAGGAAAGAAAAAGCTTCGTAGGGGTGGTTTTTTGCTATATCGCAATAGTCCCCTAAGTCTAAGCATGAATATTT